CCTGGTCCCCATCCAGTACTCTCCAGCATGGAGACAGAAATGACGTGGGCTGAATGAGCACAAGCTCCCGAGTCAGGTGAGTCTTAACAGTAACTTACAGAATACAGATTTTTATCCCTACATCTCAAACAGGATAAATCCACCCACTTTTAAAAACAAGGATTAAATAGAAGGAGTGAATGAGAAAGTGAAAATGCTGCTTCCATTTCTCTGATCTTTTTTCCATCTCTATATTGCCAAACAAAAAAAGTAGAGAACCTACCGATAGTAGAAACTGCTGGTGTGAGAGCAGCGATAGCGCTTCACCACGAATCCCAAAGCCATAACTACTGGCTGACCTGGTGCCTGGCGGAGCCCATTCTTAGCAAGCACAGAAAGGAAGGTTTGACAAACTATGACTATCTGATAATGCCATAAAATGACTTTTACTAAATCAGGAGGATTCCCACGTGGCAGTAAATCCCAGCAGGGCAAAGCCCTCCCAGCTGTCCATGGAGCTTTAATGCTGTTGCTGAGAGCATATGCAACCAGGCTCAACCATCTTTACTCCGCACCACAAACAAACCTAAGGGAAGGATTATGAGGCTGGTTGAAAATGCGCTCAGACTCCGAACCACAAATAACTATATTAATTTGGTCTCCTTGCCCCATCTCCTATCCAAAGTATGTTATCCTTGAATCTTTTACGCTGTTTTATCTTCGGATTCAGTAGACATGTTTTTATGCCTTAGGAAGACATGGTCACATGCCAGCCAGCTATAATGAAACCTGGTTTTGAACCCAGTTTCAGTATATTTAAATTGGATGATCAGTTGCCTCCAATTGCCATTCTCCAATTGCCATCACTACAATGTTCTCGGGTCATCTCTCTACCCCAAAACAGTTCTGTTCAGTGGGCACGACCTACCAATGTGAGTTGCAAGTCTGCAATACCCCAAATCCTGAAACACAACAGGATAAGTAAATCTCCTGGAATGCAGAGGTACTGATCTATAAATTGTACCTGTGTTACTACAGTTCTTGAATATTTTTCTAATATGAAAAATAAAACAGCAATATCCCTCTCTCGTCATAGCTGCTTGGTGGGAATGAGGTCATTTCTGTGAATGGTTTTGAGGTAAGCTGATGACATTGTGTAATTTTATAATAATAATGTTGCTTTTTTGGTGAAATAGGATGAAGTTATTAGTCTCTTGCTGATCTACCCCTAAAAACGTGCATAGCACTATGACATCCTTTGGCAAAATCTGCTCAGATTGCCAAGTCTGATTCACAGGGGCTTAGGGTAGGAAAGTTTTTATTTGCAATAAATCAATAACAATAAAGGGGGAGTGAAGACATACAAGGCTGGGAAGAATGCTAATTTATTCATATTAATTACACAGTCATAGAAAAACAAATTTTAATTTTTCACCTTCCTTTGTTTACATAATAGTTTTAATGGTTACATCTCCCTTGTTTGTCCTCTGAATAAAACTAAATAAATAAACTCTGAATAAAACGTACTGTTTTAGAGGCTGAGATTTTTTTAAAAATTCCTCCTTCTCCCACCTCATTATCCTCTCCTCCACCCCCCCACACATTTATCTATCTTCTCCTATCTTTTATGCCTGGTTCACATGTAAGATCTCAGTTGTCTTTTCTCTTCATACCACCCAACTGTGTTTTCTCAGATCTTTCGCCAAAGTGAAACTCACTAAAAATCATTGGTAAGATTCATAGTACAGAGGGGTTTAGTTTCCTTTGTGGTTGTACTTATAAAGTATCATTAGAAAAGTAATGTATACAATTATACACTTTCAAAGATGCTGTATTACAGTGGTGCATTTCCGGATAAGAGGCCACTAATGCAAACACAACTCCATTAAACATTCAGTCTCTTCCCTACAAGGTGCCCAGGAGGTTAGCACTGCTATAAACACTCATCAATTTATTTCCAAAGAGAATGGAGCAGAACTCTTCCCCCCCCCCCCATAGTCTTATAGCAGAGCACTTTACAAATGCATTGGCAGAGCATCTGTGATGTCAAAAGAAACTGTAATACACTTTTGAGCAAAAGAATACTCCTCTCTTACACAAACAGATAATTTCTTGATAGCAATAAAGGAACTCAAGTGAATTTTGTTCTTGGCAGATGAAGCCTAACTATTCTCTCATGGCTCGTGCTTCACGCTGGGCTTTTATCTACCCAACTTAGTCCCATCTCCAAATGAACAAGGACTGGTCCTCACTGTTTATATTTCTTGGATGCCTATGATAGCTCCTGTGGAGTTATTTAGAATTCTTGTGTAAATGTATTTTAAAAAAAATCAATGTTTACGTCCCAGAGCTGGCAAAGTCACAGAGGCCAAAAATGCCCTCTGGCCACTAGCCAGAAAAAGGACTGCTGTGATCCCACTGTGCACCAAACCTGATATTAGAAAGTGGAGTGGCTTAGCACTGTCTGGCCCCCTCCTAGTGACATCTCTAGTGCAGGCACAAGGCACAGTAGGTCTGGGAACAGGAGCTGCATAACTGATGCAACAATGGGGAAAGGTGGCAAAAATGTGTGGGAAGTGGACTGCCGGGAAAAGAGGTATAAATGTAAGAGGTCTGAGGACAGTGCTGTCAGGGGGATGGTTGGCATGGGAGCCTGGAAGGGACAAGCGAGATCAGGACAGACACACCAGCCAGCCTCCCTTTCAGGCTGCTATGCTTTGCATCTACCTCTCCAGCTTTCCACTTCCTCACCCCCTATCACTGGAACACCTCAATTCATTTGTCCACTGGTCCATTATTTTTCAATCCAGCACTAGGCACCTTAAGAGGATCATGGCACATTGACACAACAGATGGATGGTGCCAAATACCATCAGAGCCTGAAACAGAATTTCCAGTTTGCAAACCATTGCCAAGAGAGCAGAAGGGTCGCTTAGGTTTATTTGATCACTCGTGTCTGCATGCTGAAAACCCATATATTGTTGTCTAGGAGAAAAACACAGGGTGTGTAGAGTAGCCAACTTCTACACCAAAGTATCAGGTGTTACATACAATTACCCCCTTCCATCCCTAGCAAACAGTGCTTTCCTTAGGCAGTAAGAGCAAATGTCTATCAATCCACATGCAGCAAGAAAGCACTCAGCTGAAACCATGTGCAGCCTGAGAAGCACAAATGCAGGCTTTACACTACTCAGGAGTATGAGATTTTACATCAGAAAACATTCAACAAAGTTTGCAAAATCCTCCCCATTAAGAACAGGGCATCACTGGGTATATACCATGCTTAAGTCTATGGAGACAATTTTCATAGTAGAGTTACAAGTCTCTGAAAATAGGGGTCTATGACCGACCTTTAGTGACAGCAGCTGGGGTCACATGGCCATGATTGAAGGAGCAGCACATCAGCCACTTTGTTGGTTACATCCTGTGAGCAGTTTGTCCATAACTCACAAAGTTAACAAGGTCTCTAACATCTGAAGCCTTGCTGTCTTCGTGATTTTATGGTGCTGCTTTTTAGACAGAGAAGGCAGCACTATCGACTGAAGCAGCGCAGCATGGCAGACACACACAATGAATTCAGCCCAGCAGAGAGAGCAAAAATGCATTAGACACACAATAATGTTGTAGAGTCAAAGAGCCCTGGCAGGGTCCTAAGTAGAGAGCAGCCTATTTATCACTCAATCCAGCTCTATCACTGGGCTTCATGGAATAAAAAATAACCCGCCTGGCTTCCAATTAAGATGATCATGACACTTTCCAACAGTGTTAGGAAAACTGCAATTGAGGCAGGTAATAGCAAAATATATTCCCCTTCCCAAGCCGCCAGCAAAAAAAAAAGCAAGCCTAGCTGTATTGACAGAGAGCGCCAAGGTGTGTCTAATCAAACTTGCTACTGAATTTTGGGAGCTGTAACCCCAATTTCCAGTGTTCTGAAGAACGGGCCTTGATTCTATTTGAGAAATTCACATTGTTGGGGTCAACAACATTGTGGTAACTACATGGTTGTATTTGCCGCCAGTAGGGGTGTGTCTAGATTACATCCCTCCTTCAACAGAGGGATGTAAATTAGACACTATGAAATTGCAAATGAAACCGGGATTTGTATTTCCCGTGCTTCATTTGCATAATCACGCCCTGGCGCTCTTTCGAAAAAGCACGATTTCGAAATTGAAACCGCAGTCTAGACCCGGTTCTTTAAATAATAGAAGCCTTTTTTGAAAGATCCTGTAAAAGGTTTCTATTTTTGAAAGAACCGTGTCTAGACTGCAGTTTCAATTTCAAAGTAGCGCTTTTTCGAAAGAGCGCCAGGGCGTGATTATGCAAATGAAGCACGGGAAATACAAATCCCGGTTTCATTTGCAATTTCATAGTGTCTAATTTACATCCCTCTGTTGAAAGAGGGATGTAGTCTAGACACACCTTAGGATTTCCAATACTGATGCTCTGCTGTGCAGGTTGTGTTAGGGATTAGCACTCTAACTACAGGCAGTCCCCGGGTTACATGGATCCGACTTACATCGGATCCCTACTTACAAACAGGGTGAAGCAACCCCGCACTAGCTGCTTCCCCCCAGCAGACCAGGGAGACACGGAGCGGCTTTTCTCAGCAGACACCTCAGCTTGAGAATAAAGGACTGAGGGAAGTGAGGTGTGGGAGAATAAAACTGAGCTCTGGAGAAATGTTTGGCTAGAGTTTCCCCTACAATATGTACCAGTTCCGACTTACATACAAATTCAACTTAAGAACAAACCTACAGTCCCTATCTTGTATGTAACCCGGGGACTGCCTGTACATCACACAACCCCTATGGAGATGCACTGCACTGGGATATTTGTGAAGTGCTTGCAGTGTTGTTAATTGCTAATGCAGACCAGGCCACAGTATTGTATTGTGAAACTTAACCCTCATTTCTGCCAGCTTGCAGGCACACGTACTCCAACTAACATCTTTTGCCAGGCACTTTTGAAAGAGTTGAGCTGAAACTACCAGCCTCTTTCTGAGGCAGTGCAGGGAATCCTACCTGTCATCAGCGTTGCGGAGAGATGGAAGACGGAAGCTCGTATTTCTGTCCAGCTTTGATTGGCTCTTTGTCCTCTTGATGGAGCCTTTCAGACGCTTGCTGAAGAAGCCCTAAAATGAAATGGCATAAGCAAGTGAAAAAAGGGAAACTGACGCACGTAATGACCAAACCAGTGCTGAACCTAAAGGCGGCAGTGAATTAACTCAGTCAGCGATCGCAGAACATTTGGCCCAGGGATCCTTTTACACCATGAACAGCAGGCTCAGTCACCATTTCACTATCAAGAAATATTCATGTAGGAGTAAATAGTGCACCTGTGTTACAGTTACACCTTAACGAAGTGACACTATGGCACAAAAGACTGCCACCAAGGACCACTGGATTAGGAATTACAATTTTAGATTGAGGGAGCTGAGTTCAATTTCCCTTTACACACCCTGCCCTGATGTTTTTAATTGTTGGTTGAATTCAAAACTAGTAGGCACCTCTTATCTGCTCACGAATGTCCAATGCACCCACCTCAGTTGCATCTAAGTCTCACTTTCTGGTTTAGATGTGGCTGAGATTTTTCAAAGCCTGACTAACTCACAAGATTCCGGCCCCACTGAATCCAAACAGAAATCCTGAGTCAACCTCCCACTTGAATCCAATCTTAAATCTAACTCAGATCTGAACAATGAGTCTTCAGTCAATCTCTAGTTTATAAACCAAAAGTGCTTCTGCCTGCAACAAAACTCAAACAGGAAGAACCCTGCTTAGATACAATAAAATTATTGCACAATAAGACAAGATGTTATAGCATGAAGAGTAGTAACTTGACATTTCCAAATTGTGACTGCATGGCATACATTACAAAGCCATCAGTTAAAATAGAGCGTGAAGGAGACAGGTGGGAGCCACACCTAAGTATTTTGTTAAGTGAAAATACGCTGTATTTTTTAGCTCATCTTATCTCATCCACTATCCTGTAAAGCACTAAGTACATGGCATGCATTTTAAGGCAAACCATGCCACATTATTTCCAAGGTGTGCCAACACATACACATTCCCAGCCCAATCGATGCAAATGTAGCAATCCTTAATCCAATAGGATTAAGCAACATTTTACTGGTTGAAACACCTCTTTCTCTTCTCGATTAAAGAGTTACACATAGAAGTTTCACTGCAGCTCGGCTTAGCCGTCTTGGGATGTATCAAATGCATCTAAGTTAAAATTGTATTACCTGATGGAAAAAAGTAGTGAGGTATGAGAAATCTGCCTAACTTCATCGCCAAAGTCAAGGGAGTTTTACAAGAGATGTCCAACACGGTTCCACTCTCGCTGGTGCTGAAAATTCACTTCTCCTCCCCTCTCTCCAATTTCTAACGCACATTGGTTGCCCTCTTGCCCCCTCCTCTCACTGCCTCTTGCAATGAAGGACTGAGGGCAGGGTCAGTTCATTTCCTAATGCAGAGGAGCGTTTCAGGCCAAGAGAGTTTGCCACTCAAACTCACAGGGTGTGTCTAGACTACAGGGATTTTTCGAAAAAAGTGGCCTTTTTTCTAAAAATCTTTACCTGCATCTAGACTGCTGCCACGTTCTTTGTATCAGAAAGTATCAGAGGGGTAGTCGTGTTAGTCTGGATCTGTAAAAGTGACAAGGAGTCCTGTGGCACCTTATAGACTAACAGATGTATTGGAGCATGCGCTTTTGTGGGCAAAGACCTACTTTGTCAGACGAAGTGGGTCTTTGCCCACAAAAGCTTATGCTTCGTCTGTTAGTCTATAAGATGCCACAGGACTCCTTGACGTTCTTTTGAAAGTAAATCGAAAGAACGTGTCAGTTTTTTCGACTGCGGAAAACCTCGTTTTATGAGGAAGAATGCCTTTTTTCAAAAGTGTGCAAACTGTGCTTTTTCGAAAGAGAGCGTCTAGACTGCCTGGGTACTCTCTTTCGAAAAAGCGGCTTGCTTTTTCGAAAGTACTGATTCTAGTCTAGACGGTCTTTTTCGAAAGAGGTTTTCTCGAAAGTATCTTTCAAAAAGGCCTCTTTCGAAAAAGGCGTGTAGTCTAGACGTAGCCGCAGAAAACTCCTCTCCCTCACCGCCCACTAGGGATGTTAAATATCAGTTAATTGAATAGTCGAGTAACCTCATGAATTCTTACCGGTTAGTCAACTATTCTATAGTCCCTGAGGGCGGGGCTGACAGCAGCGCGGGATGCCAGGTGGGAGTTAGTCTGTGAAGGGAGCCAGTTTAAAAAAAAAAACAGCTCCTCTTGCAGAACAGCTGTTTGTTGCCCTGTGCTGCTGCCTCTTTATCAGAGGCAACAATGCGGGGGAAGGGGCAGCCCCTGTCCGGGGGAGATGGGGTGGTCTGAGCTCCCGGACCCATCGCAAACTCTGGGACTGAGCTGGGCTGCCTGCCCGCCCAGCTCCTTATTCACTTTAAATGACAGCAGCGCGGGATGCCAGGTGGGAGTTAGTCTGTGAAGGGAGCCAGTTTAAAAAAAAAAAACAGCTCCTCTTGCAGAACAGCTGTTTGTTGCCCTGTGCTGCTGCCTCTTTATCAGAGGCAACAATGCGGGGGAAGGGGCAGCCCCTGTCCGGGGGAGATGGGGTGGTCTGAGCTCCCGGACCCATCGCAAACTCTGGGACTGAGCTGGGCTGCCTGCCCGCCCAGCTCCTTATTCACTTTAAACGCAGAGCCACAGAGGAGGTAGGTCCTGGACCCGGCATAAGCTAGAACTGAGCCTGGCTGCTGGCCAGCCTGCTAAAAAATTTACTGGGGCGGGGGAAGGGAAATGCGTGTAGTATACAGCATTAACTTATCGGTTAATCGGTTAACCGACAACACGATTACATCCCTACTACCCCCCAGTTCTTCCATTAGCACTTAGCTGGTCAATAGTCTCTCGCTCATTCAGCCTTCTTTGAGGGAACTATGAGGAAAGCAGCAGATTAACAATAGACTCTCCTCCTGCCTTTTTCTTCCAAAATTGGAATGAAGATTTTGAGAGCAGAAGGAGATTGCCTCATCCTTAATACAATACCACCCAAAACAGGCAACAACTTGCTCCAATGCAGCTGGCTGAGTGCCCCCAAAGCCTTGCACAGGCCCTTATTCAGTGAAATGATTGCTATGCTGGAAGTTTGTTTCTTGCATCTGCCACTGCATCTGAGGCTGGCTGGCCCCCAGATTAGGGGTGATCCTTACCAGGCAGCACCCCACAAAGTTGGTTAGTGGATACGGGACAGCTACTTAATATGCTCCTTGAGAAATCTTGGAGAAAAGGGGGAAGCTTTTTCCCTTCTCCGAAACTGGAAGAGGCAGACATGTTCAAAGTGAAGACACTGTGAAGCCGAACACTTCTGCTGTGCTGCGCCATGACCCACACACTGCCCCGCCCCCGTAGCAACAAACTAGACAGGCCTCCTGACCTGACAGGAGTCAGAACTAGGGATGTTAACTATGGGTTAATTGAATAATCGATTAACCTTATGAACTGGTTACTCAACTATTCTATAGTCCCCGGAGGTGGGGCCGGCAGTCAATGCGCTCCGGCCCCAGTCCTGAGGAGCCCCTTGCTACTCTGTGCTCAGGCGGGAGCTGGTCTGTGAGGGGAGCCGGTTTAAAAACCAGCTCCCCTCATGAACTCGCTGCCTGTTACCCCGCACTGATATAGAGGTAGCAGTGCAGACTGGCAAGGGGCTCCTCAGGAGGGGGGCCTGAGCACATTGGAGCCCCTCTCGGGGGGGAGGGGGGAAGAGGGGGCGAGGCTGAGCTACCGGACCCAGCGTGAGCATATAGTCTATACAGCATTAACCTAGAAGCTTTTACTTATCGGTTAATCAACTACACTATTACATCCCTAGTCAGGATGGGGCCCCAAAACATTTTTAAAGTGAAGTGACTCTGTTCCCAGCAGAGATGGATCCCAACTGTTAACTCTGGTTAGTGTTTATAAACATTTTTAGCATCTCATCACACATTTAGAGGGAGAACAGACTTTTTTACTGAGCAAAATATACGTGTTAACTGGTCAAATACGGCTATCTAAATGTGGGTAATAAATGGCAATTTTCAGGATATCTAGATGTGTGAGTGCTGTCTGAAAAAAGAAAAGAAAATAAAAATAGAAAAATGCAAGCATACTGGGATTTTTTTCTTGAAAACACATTAAACTGTTTGCATCTTAAGTTGCTCTCTGTAATTTGCTATGGAATCACATAGGGCTGATGACAGGAGATGAATAAATTGGAAGCAGCAGGAAAAATTCACACATGCCAGAAATAGAGAGATGAGATTTTTGACCTTTATGTTTCTATGCTAAAAGAAATCCTTCGAAATGTGGAATGCAAAAATAAAGGGGAGAGGGTAGCCAGCATATATTTACAGCAAACGCTAAATCTTTTAAAACACAAATGCCACCAAAACAAATTTTTATTTTCCCTGAGTTCAACAGTATATTTAAAGAGACACTGTCCAGTCAAAATCATTTTTAGGGAAAAAAAAATCCCTTGTCAACACTCTCAGTAGTACCTTTGCAGGTACATTATTAGCAGAAAGACTAAAACTCTCTTTGACTATTTATGCTGGTTATATTTATAGCACTTACCCGAACACAGACAATTGAAAACAGGCAATTTTTGGTTCTCATTTCCTAGCACGATGAAATGCCTGGGTTTCAAACACTGCAGGGGAATGTGCCTTTTAAAAAAACAGTTTAGGTTTCATGGGAACGTTTCCATTGGTGGTTGAAAAAAACCCACGCCTTATTACCTCAACTGTAACAAAACAAGCATGTCACTACTTTATTAACAACATACCAGGGTGTCTGCAAAGATGAATTAGATGCAAGCACTCTAAAGATGAACAGAACTATATAAATGCTGACATTTAAGGACTCAAACAGGAAAAGGATAACTGTGCAAGAGCTCTGCCCTCATCAGTCTCTCTAGACATTGCTTCAACACTTCAGATGAGTGTAGGTCTACACTACATTGGCTGGAGGTGCACAGCTCCATGACTGCAGCTGTGTCACTCCAGCATGGTTGCACAGACACTTCCTAAATGGACAGAAGGAAAATTTCCACGTAAGCAGGTAACCTTCTCTTTAGCATTCAGCAGCC